CATTATTATAAAAAAACAAATAATTTTACATCCTTATATATGAAAGGAAACTAATTCTTGTATTTTTACAAAGAGTAATATATACTTGTTAAAGTGAACAAACATATATACTTAGGGTAAAGAGGAAAGTGAGTTATCTAAAATAATTCCGATTTTTCCATTGCAAAAAGGATGATTTATAAGTTCCCCTAGTTTTATAACGTCACAAGGAGGTTGGACTAATTTTCGGGGTATTTTTAGGATTTTTCTACTATTTATTACCTTTTTTGAAAATTTTTGCACTAAAAAAGCCAAAATAATTGCAAGAGGACACCTGGCGCGATCTCAGCCAGTCACCTTTCACCGCTTGCACAAGTGTACATCAGTCAACATGGCCACATCCTTGCCTTTTACCCTAAATTATTATTTTCTTACTTTTTCTTAGAAAATTCATAACTAAATACACAAAAATTACAAAAATATTCCGAAAATTGCTACGAACTCATTGAGACTCCAGCTCTCTTACTGAATAACCCGATTCATGGTTACGCATTTTACAAAATAATTCCAAACATTAACGAGAGATGCTTGTTGATGTAGGTTATTGAAGTTAAAGTTAACAAACATATATACTTAGGGTTAAGAGGGAAGTGAGTTATCTAAAACAATTCCAATTTTTTCATTACGAAATGGATGATTTATAGGTTCCCTTAGTTTTATAATGTCACAAGGAGGCCGGAGTAATTTTCGGGGCATTTTTAGGATTTTTTTACTATTTATTACATTTTTGAAAGATTTTTGCACTAAAAAAGCCAAAATAATTGCAAGAGGACACCTGGCGCGATCTCAGCCCGTCACCTTTCACCACTTGCAGAAGTGTACGTCAGTCAACATGGCCACATCTTTGCCTTTTACCCTAAATTATTATTTTATTACTTTTTCTTAGAAAATTCATAACTAAATACACAAAAATTACAAAAAATATTCCGAAAATTGCTACGAACTCATTGAGACTCTAGCTCCCTTACTGAATAACCCGATTCATGGTTACGCATTTTACAAAACAATTCTGAACATTAACGGAAGATGCTTGTTGATGTAGGTTATTGAAGTTAAAGTTAACAAACATATATACTTATGGTTAAGAGGAAAGTGAGTTATCTAAAACAATTCAGATTTTTTCATTGCGGAACGGATGATTTATAGGTTCCCCTAGTTTCATAACGTCACAAGGAGGCTTGAGTAATTTTTGGGGCATTTTTAGGATTTTTATACTATTTATTACCTTTTTTCAAATATTTTTGCACTATAAAAACCAAAATAATCGCAAGCGGACACTTGGAGCGATCTCAGCCCGTCAACTTTCACCACTTGCACAAGTGTACGTCAGTCAACATGGCCACATCCTTGCCTTTTACTCTAAATTATTATTTATTACCTTTTCTTAGAAAATTCATAACTAAATACACAAAAATCACAATAATGTTCCAAAAATTGCTACGAACTCATTGAGACTTCATCTTCCTACTGAACTCATTATTATTATTATTATTTTTTAGCATGTACATTTGTTAATTTTATTTACTCCAGATGAAGATGTTTCCTTCTCTTTCCTTTGAGTATAGTGAAATGTTTTGAATTCATTGAAATATTTTTGGAATGGAACGATTTGAGGAGTGGAAGAGGGGAGAAATGAGAATATATGGGATTTCAATTTTGTTTTAGTCTCTGTTTGTAGTGTTTTGAAAAGGTGTTTCCACTTGGGGTTTTTCCAAGTTAACCCTTTTCAAAGAAACTGAACCCAACACCCTAAAACTCAAGAGAAGAGAAGGGAAAATGTCATCAAAATGCAAAGAGAGTCAGACAGTCAAAAAGTCAATTAATAACCTATTTGCATAGCCATTTTTAGGATTTTCCCGCCATCACATTCATTGATACAAATGTGATGGATTAATGACTAGTCACGTCCCATCCGATACTTTTTCATTTTTCCACACCAAACTAACCATAATAATGTTATTAAAATGGAACCAATGATGATGGATTCTTATCCAACTAGTTGTCTTAATGAAATATAATTAAAATAATATATTTAAAGTAGTGTCCCCTCAATTTTCATATTAATATTTGGTAGTGAAATATTATATTGGTTTTTGGGATAAAATGTGCCACAATTCTTACAATACAGGTGTCCAGATCGTGACCAACCCACCCACACAGAAAAAAGAAGGATATAATTCAATTTGGGCAGAGATGAGAGAGAGCTGAGTGAGAAGTTTAGGGTTATGAGTGAAGGGGTATGAGTGAGAACTATGAGTGAGAATGTATGAGTCTGAAGAGGTTTTAGTGAGAAGATCTGAGTGAGAAGAGGTACAAGTGAGAAGATTCAACATGTCTTCGTCTTCATCTCCTACTCAAACAAAGAGGTATCAGTATTGTGGAGCTGCAATGGTGCTTCGAGTTTCAAAATCAGATAAAAATCAAGGGAAGCCATTTTGGAAGTGCCTAACCTTGTTTTCATTTCCAGAATATGTATGTGGGTGAAAAAAACCTAGGTCTAACTATGACAGAATTATTTTGCATATATGATGCCTGCAATTAGGGAGCCACTAGTTGCAATGGATTCAAATGGGTTGATGTAACCTCCGCTCAAGCAGAGCAGCAAGATGACACTTATGATGCTACGGTGCTGAATATGCTGAAGTCCATTAAGGACTTGGTATTAGTTTTATTACTTGTATCAATTTTCATATATTTGTTATTTTAATGACCAATTAAGTGCACAGTTTCAAGGATTGTAAAAGTTTTCCCCAAAAAGACATGTTGCATGCACCACCAATGAGTTTTCAAACTCATTTTGTAATTTCTGTTCTTGAATTATTGTTTGAAACAAAAACATTTATTTGTCTGAAACCCAGCAAAAACTTTCCAAGACTGACTTAAAAAAAATAAAGTCATACGAAGACGATAAAATTACAATACAGGGCCAATACGATGCAATAATAAGACAATACATTTTTTTAAAATTGCATAATTATTCGGTGTATATAGATTGTTTATTTTCGTATACTGAAGGTTTATTGATTGTTTACTGCATGTATATCGCATGTTATTGATCGGATATTGAATGTTTATTGATTGTTTACTGCATGTATATCGCATGTTATTGATAGGATATTGCATGTTTATTGAAGGTTTATTGATTGTTTACTGCATGTATATCGCATATTATTGAATGGATATTGAATGTTTATCCAAGGTTTATTGATTGTTTACTGCATGTATAACGCATGTTATTGCTCGGATATTGCATGTTTATTGAAGGGTTATTGATTGTTTACTGCATGTATATCGCATGTTATTGCTCAGATATTGCATATTTATTGAAGGGTTATTGATTGTTTACTGCATGTATATCGCATGTTATTGCTCAGATATTGGATATTTATTGAAGGGTTATTGATTGTTTACTGCATGTACTTCGCATGTTATTGGTTCAATATTGAATGTTTATTGAAGGTTTATTGATTGTTTACTGCATATATATTGCATGTTATTGCTCTGATATTGAATGTTTATTGAAGGATTATTGAATGTTTATTGTATGTATTTCACATGTTATTGGTTTGATATTGAATGTTTATTGAAGGTTTATTGATTGTTTATTGCATGTATATCGCATGTTATTATTGATGTTTATTAGGGGCAAAAGTACCACTCAAGTAAGATTTAAGGAGTTAGATTTATAGGGAAAACTATCCTTATTCTTTCTTTTAGTAGGAAGAACAACTGTTAAGTAGAATTTCCTATTCAATATGACTTCCTTATGGATGGTGTAATTGGAGACTGATGTATATTGCATGTATATTGCTTGTCTGTTGTGTATATATTGCTTGTCTGTTGCCTGTGTATTGTTGTTTATTTCCTTCGTAAGCAATAAATAATCAATACACACGCAATAAACAAGCAATATAGACGCAATAGACATGCAATATAGATGCAACAGACATGCAATATAGATGCACCAATATACATTACTTTTATGCTACTGAGCTACCCAAAACCAATAAAATAAAGAAAATCAACGAATTTATTAACTGATTATAAAAGAGAGAGGGATTCAAACCTGAGGAGTGGTCCGAAACCAATAGGTAGTTTTTATAGCATTACAGCTGGGGACATTTTTTCATGTGTTTCTATAAAGAGGGCATGGTTGAATAAAACATTGGAGGCGAGGGCATAGCCGCCTATTCCCCTTACAGAATTACCTTATTAAGATGCAACCCATTGCGATTAAGTCAAGGCATGTTGAATGGCTTAAAGATTGGGATATGATATTTGGAATGGTGGCTTGGATAAATCATGACGTATCATTTTGCAATGATGTAATACATTTAAAAAGCCATTAGTCCCCATTCACATATGCAGTCTTCAAATCCCAATTCAATGCAGTTTGGTTAAGGTTATGTAAATGTCGTGAAGGAGTTAGGCCAATATTACACAGATGTTTGTTTCATTAAATCCAAAAAAACTTTACACTTCAGATGCACATTCTATGTATGGGAATGACATGTGCCTAACTTCAAAAACGCATCTGCCTATCAATTTATATTGCCCACGTGCAATAGATTTACAGATCCATTTACTTTTCTCCTCACCAAGCCTCTACATCTCCATTTCAGATTCTTCATTTTTCTGTCTATGCTCTGCATCCAACTACCATATACATTTAGCCCAATATGAGAATAAATGTAGTGTAGTATTACACTAATCGAAATGAAAGCATGCATCCGCTATAAAATTTGCCACTATTTTGGTTCTAATTGTTATTGTCCAATAACTTAAACTTAAAATTATGTACAAAAATACACTAAGATTGAGAAAGACGAAGAATAATTTAGGAGCAGAGGTAGAATTCGAAAAGGACCCGTGGGTCTGTATTGTGTATTTACATGAGTTTCAATTTGGAGATTCCCAAAACCAATTTAATCATCATGTACCTAAACCAAGTTCAACCAATATCATGGTATGTAAGCATCTCCTCCCCGTAATATCTCTGCAGCCAACTTCAACCGGAAAAATGGCATGTTCTGTGAGGTGCAAGTAGCTAACGGAATCTCAGCACTCAAAAGCTCAATGTACTTCAACACGAACATGCCACAATCGCCTCTGAAACAAAACAAGAACTCGATCAATTCAAGTAATGACATTCTAACGTAATTGACAATTTAAAGTAATAAAATTAAATAAAAGTTGTGCTCACTGATTAGATTGTTGTGGAACATCCACACATTCTATTGGCCACGGAAACCACCAATCTCGGCTGCCATCGTTTGCGTAAACACCTTCTTCATAAAAGTCGATGGTGTTGAAAAGATTGGAATCGTAATTGAAAGCAGGCGAGTTCTTCCTTTAAGATCTCATCTGGAATAAGTGAAACCATTGAATCATACACTTTGATTTCACACTTAACCATATCAATCATTAGAGCCACCCAATGGTTATACTTCATCAACATACAAGGGACATACACCTTATACGCGTTCTGCCAATCCATCCCACATGCCGGAACCTTGCCATTTACAACGTTCAGTAAACTGTTTCTAATTTTCCACCCAACCTGCTCTTTTTTTCTTTTATTATCCGCAAAGCAAGTATGGATGTGATTATGTGAAATAGAAAACAATCAATGGTTAAACACATCCACAAAGCAAGTATGGATAATTTGTAATTATTAACTGTACTTGGTCAAGGCCTATGACATACCATAAAAAATACATCGGTCGTTGTCCAGTCCGATATTTGTACAACCTCCAACTCATGTTGTCGCTTCCGGATGAGATACAATCCCAAATCAATTTGCTGCACATGTTTTTCTTGTCAATCTCATAATCTATCTACATTAAAACAAATGCATAATCAATTAAACTTACATCTCCTTTCAACCAACCGTCAGCTTTGACGAGGGAAGCGAAGAATTCAATCTCAGCTTCCACGTTGCCAAATTGCATCACTAAACTGTGAATATAAAAAAGTTTTAGAATACAACAATTAAAAAATATATACACTTATGCCTTCTATCTCAAAAAACAAGGGACTTACTTTGGGTTATGGCGCCATTCCCAATAAAGTTTCAGTAATTTCACCATATGATCATGCGGAATCGCCTTCATTGGGTCTAACATCCGAAGTCGAGTTGTCTGTGGCACAGTTTTTTTACCAATTCACTAGCTTCAATGATCTTCCACATAGGAATAATCCTCTTCCTCTTCCGTAATTGGACCTCTTGTTCCACAGCTTTACCTTTATCATTCAACCAAACATTCAACTGAGATAGCACAGCTGTAGGTTAATCCAAATCAATGTCCCCGAGAGTAAACTCAACCTTTGTCCCCTCCGTGCTCTCGCTAATGTCATTGCCAAGCAACATAACTTCATTATCCTCTTCCTCACATTGGTTTCTTTGCACTTCCTTTTCCTCACTTCTTTGTCTTTTCACTTCCTTGCCCTCCCTTCTTTTTCTTTGCGAATCCTCTCCCTCACTGCTCTTTCTTTGCAGTTCCTCTCCCTCACTGCTTTTTATTTTCACTTCATCTCCCTCACTGCTCTTTCTTTGCTCTTCCTCTCCCTTGCTGCTTTTTATTTTCAATTGCTCTCCCTCACTTCTTTTCCTTTGCGCTTCCTCTACCTCACTTGGTTTTCTTTGCACTTCACCCCCTTCAATCCCCTCCTCTTCCTTTTCCTCTCCCTCATTTATATTACTTGGCCCTTCATCCCATTCAATATCATCCACTTCCTCACATCCCTTAAATAGATGTGAGATGGCACAACGATTCGTCCTCTCTTTCAGAACAGCTAGGTCCCTCCTTACTTCCTGCTCAAAATGAGGACCTAAACATTGGTCCAAATTTTTTCCATTTGTATGACCTTTAACTCAAGCATGTCCTTTTCCCGCTTTACTTGAAAAAACTCAGACCTCAACAAGCTTACCACCTTGTTCAACTCATCAAGGTCAGCACATGAAGAAGGAATTGACTCTTCCGAGACAACAGTAAGGCGATCCTGTGGCCAAATCCAATATGGTTGTCTCATTTTCTTTTCACTCGGACGTAGCGCCCACAACTGAACTGACTGTTTCAGAATATAGACAAGAGTCATATTCAATCATTCTACTTAATAATTTCATTGAATCTTATAAACAGTTCCAAGGGCTGAAAACCAAACCTCTTTGCTCTGGAAAAAATAATTGTTCAACTTTCTCATCTCGGGAATAGACGTAGTAGTTCTCCATTGCAAAATACGCGGGACAGCTGTCGGATCAACATCCTTGCAGTAATTCAGGTCCGCCATTCTAGGAATTAATTCATATACCCAAATCTACACAATTCACAGGACAAAAGTCATTATTTAAGTTTTAAAGTCCACAAAGCATAACTGACATAAACATTATTACCATGTACCTGGAAAGCATACATGAAACCTTTAAAACCCTAGCCACCCCTTTGCACTTCACCATGCTTATCCTTCTTGCCCTTCTCATTTCTCCGGCTTGTTCCCGTTACCTTACTTTTCCCCTTCCCTCTTCCCTCTTCCCTCTTCATTTTCAAAGTTTTTCATATACTTTGTTGGTACAGAAAATAGACTGTCTTAGGTCTTGTCAAGGGACACCGAACCCTACGGATACCTGTTGAACGCATCCAAGTCCTCTACAAGGGCCAGGTAATTTACATTGATGTTCAAATGCTTGTCCCTTCCCAAAATCACTAACTCAGCAAAGTAAACAAGAGCTACCTTGTAGATGTCATCTTCCTCTGTGCACCTCAGAAATGCTTCTTCTAAAGCATTACATGTAATTCCTTCGTCTACAAAATATCTTTTATGAAGTCTAATTTCATCACTTTCTCCACTAGAAACTTCAGGCACTTCCCCAAAACAAAGCCATGTGATCAAACAGAAATCCTGACGAGTGAACTGAGCAACATTGCATCCTATTAAGAAACTCAGTCCATCCAAGTCCTTCACACCCTGTCCCGCTACTCGACGCAACACAACCCCATGCATAATCTGCCTACTAAACTGAATCTTATCTATATTCAGAAGATGGCCAAAGCATGATGTCTTGAATTGTTCTAATTGTTCGGCAGTCAACTTCGCTCAAATTGTAGCTAGGGATGAATTTGCATGTGAGCAGTTGTTCACCCGTGACGCATATGCCTCTGACTCTAGCCATACCAGCTCCACGTTGGATCCCATTTCCTGAAATACGAGATGAAATAACGTGAACACATATACTACCACCTATTTGTACAATCATATTGGTATTTACACAACTAGTCAACTAGGCACATTACAAATTTTACAAAGTACATGCGCATAGGGATTACTGATCACAAGCTTTAACATCATCAAAGTAATATGACCAATTTTTTGCAAATACCTGTTAATGCAATGATTTTGTGAATTACAAGCAATAGAATGTGTTTTATTTATAGATCCAAACTCCAATCAATGGTTGACGCATGAGTGAGTGTGAGTGCAATCTAGGAAAGTGCTGCACTTCACACACATGATAATTATTGTTATCTCAACACAAAATAAATAAATAAATAAATAAGAAAGATGGTGGAAGGAAGCAAAGCAAAGCATCTGCTCTACTATCTGCTTGCTAAGCCATTGCCACATCCTTCTTTCTTTCTAGTTTTTTCTTCAGTCAGCCACAATCATCATAGATCAACCTTTTTTCAAATGCTTTGCACTTTTATTCATGAGTTTATTATTATATGTTCTCATTTTTCACAGGCAAATTTAGTAACAACGGAAATAATATTTATTTCAAAAATTATATATATTCTAGCGCTAGAGAGATAATCTGCACTCTGCACTGCTTCAAATGTGGAAGGTTTTGAGGGCCTCCTCCAATTCAACACCATTATCTTATTCATATAATTATTGACATGTTATGGACATGTTATTGACATGTTACTGACACGTTATTGACTTGATTTTCATTCGTTTTTTAACATATATCCAAGCAAAAATTAACATGCAAGTGAAGCACAAAGAAGAGATGCCAAATCCAACAATATTGATGGTACAAATTGGGGAAAACCGTTACTCTAACCGTAAACTCAAATTCCATAAATTACTCACCAAATGCTGGTTATTGAACAATCGCAAGGTGTCTGTGCGGGCTCTTTGTGCAGCTTTGCTCCACAAATGGAACCTATCACTTCCAACGAATATGGCTTATCTCCTTCCCCTTTCACTGTTTCGGAATCCATGCCTTTACCCCTTCCACTCAAAATAAATACTTTTTCACGAGTTAGAGAACGGAGTTGCGGTCAACCGTTGCCTTCAACCGTCGTTAACCGTTGCCTTCAATCATTCTCAGAGCTTAGCGGTTTCTCAAAGAGCTATGGGTTTTAGAATGATGGGTTTTTCTGTTCAAACTTCGACTTACTCCCTGCCTTTTTTTTTTTTTTTTTTTTTTTTTTTTTTTTTTTTTTGGTTTGGGTGGAGGTTGCCCAACTTCAATTATGGATATATTGGTAATATTAAATTCGGGTTTGCTTCACCTACCCAATTGCACAATTGTATCTCAATTCTCCATAGCCCTTGGATTGATCTGATGGCTATAAAGTGAACCCCTTATAACTTACCACTCATTATAGTCTGAGCGCTCACTCAAACCCACACCCCACACTTGGTGGTCACTAAGGCCATTTCCAATGACGGCCTTAAATGGGGCTATACCTCCTCAGGGCCCAAAAAGAATAACAGGGCTAGCAGCCCATTTTCTTTACCAGGATTTTTTTTTTTTTTTTTTTTTTTTTTTTTTTTTTTTTTTTTTTTTTTTTTTTTTTTTTTTTTTTTTTTTTTTTTTTTTTTTTTTTTTTTTTTTTTTTTTTTTTTTTTTTTTTTTTTTTTTTTTTTTTTTTTTTTTTTTTTTTTTTTTTTTTTTTTTTTTTTTTTTTTTTTTTTTTTTTTTTTTTTTTTTTTTTTTTTTTTTTTTTTTTTTTTTTTTTTTTTTTTTTTTTTTTTTTTTTTTTTTTTTTTTTTTTTTTTTTTTTTTTTTTTTTTTTTTTTTTTTTTTTTTTTTTTTTTTTTTTTTTTTTTTTTTTTTTTTTTTTTTTTTTTTTTTTTTTTTTTTTTTTTTTTTTTTTTTTTTTTTTTTTTTTTTTTTTTTTTTTTTTTTTTTTTAACAGAGACAAAGGGTCCTCCTGGCAAATTTTGCTAGTCTTTCTTGTTTTTACTATCCACTTTGGTCAAGACAATTTCTGCTGATTAGATGGGCGAGACGTCCACTTTGGTCTCTTGTCATATACCACACTTATGAGAGAAATCAGTTGTTAACGCCCATTTAATAAAATTATCTTTATATTGCACACACTATACAATGCCATTATGACTCCAAACTCTTCCCCGCATACCCATTCACAAAGACCTCTCTATACAGCTTACCTTAACGATCATGGCCTTAGAAAGATCAATTTTCCAAGCAAATAAAACCTTTTCCCTTTAGCAATCTTGAACTTATGCACGCATCTCTTGAGCAATCACACTATTATCACCTATAGGTCTCCCTAACAAAAACTGACTTGAGTGGGGCTAACAATTTTAGTCATAATAGGATGACCTGAAACTAAATCTTATAAACCACTTATAAAGAGGATTACATAAAACTACATGGGCCCAAGTTGAGCCATATTAGAGGCCGTTCAACCTTAGGAACCAAAGTAATTAAAGTACCATTAAGTGCTCAGGGAAGATAAGCTCGGACAAACACATCCTTGACAGAGAAGGATATTCTAGAGCAAAGATTCCAATAATTTTGATAAAAAAGGGCAGGAACCCAAGAGGGCCAGGCATTTTCAACCCACCAATAGCAAATAAACTACTTTGAATCTCCACATCAGAAACCTCACCATTTAACCTTGTACAATCAGAGAGCTCAAGCTGAGGAAAACACTGGGGAAACAAAGAGTACTCATCAGATAAAGGAGGCTCACTAAATAGCCCTTGAAAATAATGAATAACAATCTGTTTCATACCTCCTTTCTCAGAAATCTACTCTCCAGCATCATTAGTCAACCTTTCTAATTTATTCATGTGCCTTCTAATAATAGTAGAAAGATTAAAAAAAATTTGTATTCCTATCATCTTCCTTAAGTCATGTGTTTCTAGATTTTTGCAACCAAAACATCTCTTCTTGATCAAGAATGAGATTATACTCTGTAGTCAAATCAGTTTCCAACTGACTAAGGAAAGGATTAAACTGCATACATAAGATTTTTCGAATACCAGCAAGATGAGCCAAAATCCTTCTTTTCTTTTGAAAAAGACACCCAAACACCTGTTTATTCCAATGTTGCAGATGCCAAATAAGACTAGTAGACTTTTGAACAACATGGCATGTACCAGAATTCCACAAACCAGATATGAACTCAAAAAAACTAGGATGACTTAACCACATTGCTTGGAATCTGAAAGGCATAGATTCTGTTGCAGGAAGATGGTTAGAAAAAAACTTAACCATGATAGGACAATTATCAGAATTCACCCTTGGTAGATGAGATAAGTGAGCTTCAAAGAACAAAAATCTCCAATCAATATTACAAAGACCTCTATCAAATTGTTTCTAAATAATATCCTTGTCATCCCTTTTATTACACCAGGTAAAATTAGCGCCAGAAAAAAACCAAATCAACAAGATGATTCATATCAATCCACTCAATAAAATGCTGACCACCAACATCCAAATTACCACCTTGCTTCTCCTCACCACAAACAATATCATTAAAATCACCAAGCAACAACCAAGGTAATTACAAACACACGAACCCATCTAAATACTTCCAAAAAGAAGTTCTCTCACTAGAACAAGGACTAGCATAAACTATTGTTAGCAACCAACTTTTAGCATCCATAGTAACTAAGGCAGTAATGGTTTGACTAGAATGCACAACAATTGTAAAGAAACAGAACTTCCATTCCAAAGTAGCCACACACCCCCAGAAAAACCAATGGGATCGACAATATGATAATGAGAAAATCCCAAAACCTTTGTAACAAGGAGAGCTCAAGAACCACCAATTCTAGGCTCAAGCACAACAAAAATATCAATACCATAAGCCTTTTTAAGTCCCTAATGGTATGACACACTTTACCTTGTCAGCACCTCTCACATTCCAGGAAACAATTATCATAAAAGTGATATGTAAAGGGAGGACAAGGAGAGGGAAAACCTCATCAAAAAGCAACCTGCCCAGCCTCAACATCAGAGGCATCAAAATCAGTCAACATACCAACCAAACCAACCTCACCAACTGAATCATGCTCATCCTCATTGGAAACACCAGACTTAACCAAACGAGATTTACCTTCATTCAGCTCCATCTGACCAATATCAAGAGGCTCAGGGTTATGCAACACCACATTAACACCCCGAAAATCCGTAGGTGAAAAGCAGCATCCACATTAAAAGAGATCAAGCCTTGAACATCATCTTGCACATTAGAGCCTCGAACTTGCATACCCATCACTCCAACATTCAAATTACTACGATTATGCCCAAACCTAGCATTCCCAGTGTTCTTAGACCCAAAACCAGGCTTCAAACCACAGTACCGCTCTTCTCCAACTTAGCATTAGTAATGTCCTTCAAAGGTTTTTGAAAACGTGCACCTTAGAATCCTTAGCAAGAGAATTTTCTCTTCCCAACCTCATTCCGTTACTCCCAGTAGACTTAGCAAACCACTAGTAGGAGTAACCACTTGCTTCATAGGCTTATTAACCTCGTACTTAAAAGGATTCACAACTGGCTCATCTGTAAATTCAGCCTCTTGAGTAACATCACACATCTCATGGGGTACGAGTTCTTTTCTCTCCAATACACACTCCCATCTTTACCAGATCCACTAGATCCCACATAAAAAAACAAATTCCAACAACGGAGCTGCCACCATGTGTTTGGGCCACAAATTGGCATGCCCAGCCAGCAAAAATTAGGCCCAGAATGAAGCTGCAAAAAATCAAAGAGAGATGGAAGCCCAAAAGCCAGAGGAGACCAGCCCAAGACTCATCAAAGTAAGCAAGGCTAATCTGGGCCTCACGGGCCCAATATAAAGGGGAAGCCCAGAAATAGGGACAATCCCACGTGATATCTCTGAAAAAGAAAAAAAGTCAGCAATGGCAACTGTCATAGGAGAAGTGATTGAAGGGTTCATAGCATCAAGATCGATTCTGGAAAAAACTGAAGATCAAATCCCTCTTACACTATATATATATTCAGAGATTTTTTTTCTGTCTTTTCAGAGAAGGTAAACCTCCCAAGGAGATAAGCAAGTTACAATCTCAGAGAGGGATAAGCAGGAAAGCAGGAAGCTGTCCAGAAAAGAATCAAAACTAACCATCACGGGCAAAATATCGCAAGGGGCAGTTGAAATTAGGCAAGAGATTTCAAAGAAAAAAAACAGGGAAGTGATTGCCTATCTGTTGAGAAACCTATCTACCAAAAATGATGAAATCCCCTTTTTCTCTTTTCCATTTTTAAAGGAAGATCTTTTGAAAGGATTTGCCGCCCATTATTAAAAGAATTACCCTCCTCCAGAAGACATTTCTTATAAATATGAGAAGGAGTGAACAGGGCAAAACACAAAAAAAATCTTACAACAAAAATTTCATCACTCAATCAAACAAAGATCCTACATAGGAAAACCCTCAAATAAACAAGCCCACTTGAATTTCAAGTGAAAAAACCAGCTCCAGATCAAAATGCCCAGAATCCAGACTTAGGAAGCAAGTCATTCAAAACGAGATTTCTCTCGTTACAAATTTGGTTCAGCAAAAACCAACACAAGCAGAGTTTGAGCCTCCTCCAAGTATGGAAAACCCCAGCCAAATTCACGGAATAGCCTCTAGCTCACCAACGTCCTCAAGAACAGCCACTTCTGCCCCTTCAGACTGAAGAAACCGCAGTTCTGCCTACTCAGAAGCTTCGCAAAAGCTTGAGGTACATTAAAGCTCTGCCAGAATCAACCTTTGGCATCGATTTGTAGTTGAAAATCGGGCAATCAGAGTTGTCTACGATCCAGTCCAGCCCAGACATTCCCAGTCCAGCCCATCACAGAGCCTCCCATCCAGGCAGAAATGGAGATCTAGCTATCTTTTTATCTTTTGGCATCGACATGTATTTTTGTAGTCCTGTAAAAGGCACTTCCGCCCAAAAATAGCTTAAATTTCATCAGCCATTCTGGCCAGAACAACCTCTTTATACTGAGATAAATTGTTAAAGTCCTCACTAGTCTGAGGCAAGAAAAGAACTTACTTGGGAGATATTCCTCACCCAAATTCACAATCGTTTGTTTAGGAAATCAGTAACTTGGGGCGCAAGTTATCCATTCCAGACTAAGTCTGCTAGGCTGTTCATTACTAGCAGTGGCACGCTCGCACACCAAAGAAAGCTGACTTGTTGACCAGTCTATGGTTCTCAAGGCAGTGGGGAACTTTGCCCTTCCCATCATAGGAGTAAACGCAAAACGGGTGAACACCATGAATGGTGGTACCTACCACTAGAAGCAACAGAAGAGCAAGGTGCGAGAGAAAAAAACATATGGTTCTCCAGAGCCCGAGAGACTTTTTTCCGAGGGAATCAAAATTGGTGGTGCATTTTTGAGTAAGACTGACTCACACACCTATTTTTACACCCACCCATTTTGTTGTAGTAAAGGTTGTTTCTTTATCATCGCTTTATTGGCAAGCTCATAATAATCTCCACTCTTCTATCTCCACATTGTTAGTTTGGATTCAAAAGAAGCAGAACAGTGACTGAAGTAACTTGCGATACACTAAACAAAATTCCTAAGTCTTTGAGGGGTGTATTCAATTAGGATTCTAGAGTGTTTAAAAAGATTTTGTTTAAGTGCCAAATTTCATAGAACTTGATGGAACTTTAGAATTCGTATAGAACTTGATAGACTTTCAGAAGACTTCTATATAATTTTTTAATAAACTTTCTTAAGATTTGGGGGGTGTATTCAATTACCGTGACAAAAAAGCATGGATCCTAGTAACAAAGAATAAACCCTAACCCCAAGCTAAACCCTAATAACAAGTAAAACCTGTAACCCCAAACTATACCCTAATAACAAGAAAAACACGATGAAGAAAAATCATGGAAAAAGAAAACCCAACGAGGTATTGATCAAAGAAAAAATAGGGAGCATACCTTCATAGATGGAGGAAGGAGGCTGCTCATCTTCTGTTGCAGAGAGAAAAGCTAGGGCAAGAGAAAAACATCTGATGAAATACTTGGGGAGGGGGGAGTTTATTTACGGTCATTGTTATTTCTAGCTCTCTCCCTTAAAACCTACGAAAATTTATCACTTAATGTAATCCTTCCAAATATACGACCTTTTGAATACACCTAGATTTGATTCAACTTTTTTATAATCCTAATTGAATACACCCATATTTGAATGGACTTTTTAAAAGTTCATACAAGCCGGAATTGCCTCTTTTAAAGTTTGTATAAATCCAATTTGAATACACCCGGATTTTAAAAATCTTTTTAAACGCTTCATAATCCTAATTGAATACACCCCCCCTTTGTTTCAATTAACTTCTTTTAACTACCACAAAATTTCGTTCGATGTAGATGGCATAGTAGCACACTTGCATGGAAATATGGAAATACCTATGTATCAATATAAATTCGGTTAGTTTACCGGCTCTGATTGCAAAACCCATAAAATCCATTCAACTCAATATTTAATGATGGTGCACTCACTCAAACTAGAGGTGTCAAACGGGCCGGCCCATCCCATTTAAACTCGTGCTTTTAACGTTTTCGTGTCGGGCCAGACCGGCCCATTTAATTTATTGGGCCGTGCCGTGCTGGACCATTTAGTAAAATCATTGATCCCGGCCCGGCCCAAAGCCCATGCCCATATTGAAAACGGGCCGGGCTTGTGCCGTGCCCGTGCTCGTGTTCATGCCATACTCGGGCCCAAGAACCAATTCATTTAATTTGAATTTTTTTTCACTTGATTTTTTTTCCACTAGATAATTCAAATTATAAACATTAAAAATATAATTAGAGGCAAGAAATGATGAACTATTTGAAAACATTAATCAATCAAACATCCAAACAATATGAAATGGCGAATGGCAAAAAGTGTCAAACTCCACAAAGTCCACTTCAACTTTTCATCTTTAAACAACTTATTATTTTATATGTGAAAAAATGTCTTGCTTTGATTATAAGAGAAGCGTATACGTCATATGTATTGATTAGATATCAAGTCCAATGTTGTTTAATTAATTTGTAGTTGATATGTTTAATTAATTAAGGACCCAAGTAATTTCCCTAAAATGAAATACATCAAATATATATTTATGATTAATATATATATATATATATATATATATATACAGTCCCCTTCTATTGAGGGATCCCTCAAATAATTTTATTTGAGGGACGCCCTTTAGAGTACCTTACAATTTTTTTTTCCAATGATCCAAACCATATAGTTTTTAGGTCTTTATTCATAGATCATCCTTATAAAAAATTAGACAAATCGGAAATCGTTTCGACATCCAATTATGTCTTACAAAATCAATGAACACGGTGTTTCAAGAAAGTACTAAAATTTCAATAACTTAATTGAGTGGTCAAATGATATCGGATTCAAGTGATTTTTTGTAGAGATGATCTTTGAATGAGTATCTACAAAATAGACGGTTTGGATTAGTGAAATACAATCCATAGTGGGGCCTACAAGGGGTGTCCCTCAAATAAGCTTATTTGAGGGATCCCTCAATGGAAGCTCTCTGTATATATATAAACAATGACATTAAATGTCGAATTATTGCATTTTGACTTTGAGAAAGAAAAAAATTTTAAGTGGGCCGTGCTTGAAGCGTGCTCAGGCCATGGGCTGGCCCGGTCCATTGGACCTCATTTTTTGATCCCGGCTCGACCCAAGTTTTCGTGCCGTTCCTAGCATGGCCCATTAATATTCGTGCTCGTGCCGTGCCGTGCCTCATTTAAACGGGCTAGGCTCGTGCCGTGCTGGGCCGGCCCGTCCTGTTTGACACCTCTAACTCAAACCCACACTGCACACCCGGTCGTCACTAAGGCCATTCCCCAGTGAGGGTCTTAAATGGGGCTACCTCCTTAGGGCTAAAAAATATATGCTTAGGGCCCAAAAAGAATAACAGGGCTAGCTGCCAATTTTCCTTACCAGGACAAACAAAAAATAGGCTCAAACTTAGCAGAAATCGTTATCTTCGAACGTAACAAAACATAGTCAATGAGTTCTGCATACATAATTCCCAAATTATTGAAATTCAACAACAATAATGTGAAATAATTAAGTTTAAGATCCCATATAGTTTATGGTCCATTGTATATATATTTTATATATAATATCAAAATGAATTAGAGGTCAAATATGTGAGCTATATTTTAAAAATTAGAGGTCCATATCTGAACATTTTCTAGGGCACGTAGATTGCAGATCATTTTTGGGGGCACGGAGAGGGCATGGCATGACCATTCAGTAGAATCAATATACTCTATAAATTGTGACCAGTCTACCATTTCGGTACACCTGCTCATCATATCATTTACTTTATCAAATTCAAACCCCAGCTGCTTCTAGTACACTAGCTATATCATGGAGCTATGGAAATGTATTGGTTTCGGCTTGATCCTCATGTTCGGGGCTTGGTCTTGTGAAGCCACCTCTCGCAGTCTCCAAGATGCATCTATGTATGGGAGATACGAACAATGGATGACTCGTTATGGTCGTGTATATAACGATGTTAACGAGAAAGAGAATCGTTTCAAGATATTCAAAGAAAATGTGGCGTTTATAGAATCATCGAATAACGATGTGAACAAACCCTACAAGTTGGGTGTTAATCAATTTGCAGACCTTACGAATGAAGAGTTCAAAGCCTCAAGAAATGGATTCAAGGGGCATGAATGTTCCACAAAGACGACTTCTTTTAAATATGAAAATGTTAAGGCGCCAGTGCCAGCTGCAATGGACTGGAGAAAGAAAGGAGCTGTAACCCCCATCAAGGATCAAGGCCAATGTGGTAATTAATCGTCTAGGTTCATTATTATTAATCATTTATAGTAACACTATATACTCTTCTTTTGGAGTTTAGTAATATTTTTATGTTATTCTAACTACTATTAATTGCAATGAAAAAATAGGATGTTGTTGGGCTTTTTCGGCAGTGGCAGCGACCGAAGGCATTACTCAGCTTACAACTGGTAAACTGATCTCTTTGTCTGAGCAAGAGCTAGTTGACTGTGACACCAGCGGTGTAGACCAAGGTTGTGAGGGTGGCTTGATGGATGATGCCTTTCAGTTCATCCAACAAAACCATGGGCTTAGTACGGAAGCTAATTACCCCTACAATGGTGTTGATGGTTCATGCAATACCAAGAAAGCAGCAAGCATTGCAGCCAAGATAACTGGCTATGAAGATGTGCCTGCAAACAGCGAAAAAGCCCTTCTAACCGCTGTTGCTCATCAACCAGTTTCTGTTGCCATCGATGCTGGAGGTTCCGATTTCCAGTTCTATTCAAGTGGTGTCTTTACAGGAGCCTGTGGAACGAGCCTTGACCATGGGGTTACCGCTGTTGGTTATGGCGTTAGCGATGATGGGACTAAGTATTGGTTGGTTAAAAACTCATGGGGGACAGAATGGGGTGAAGAGGGGTACATAAGGATGCAAAGAGATGTTGAAGCAAAAGAAGGTCTATGCGGCATTGCTATGGAAGCCTCTTACCCCACTGCTTAGCTTAAAATTAAACCAGTGCCTACTATTTGGTTTGTAAGTACTATGATATGTACTTGTATGTGTAAAATACTTTATAAGATATATGTACTGTGGCTGTAAGAAAACTTAGCCATTTTTGAAAAGCTTAATTTTAAAACATCAACAAATATTCCACTATCAAGTTAAACTTAATTTTAAAACATTTATGAACACTGCTGCACTCATTAAACATTTCATAGTTGAACCCTAACCTAATCATAACCCATTCCCTCGCCTACACTTACTGAGCTTAATTTTTGGTGCAATAAAATAGCTTATTTAACAGTTCCCTCCAAGTTATTAGAGAAGAGAAATAGCCAATTGAACAACTTAAATACTTTTTGTGTTTTTAGCGTTTGAGTTGAGCTAAATATATTGAAGACAAAAGGAATTTGCCAAAAGAGACCGAAGATTCCAAAAAACAATGAAGAAACCATCAGAGCATCTTGGACTTGTACGGCTCATATCATAACTTAATTTTTCTGGTCGACCAAATAAGTTAGCATATAGTATTTTCTTTCTATTCAGAAAAGTTTAGGGGGAGGAGAGGCTACCACATCCCAGGGATAGGGCATACCAATGCCTCTTTGAGGACTTACAGAGTAGGTCTTAGCCATTTTTTTGGTTTTTACAATCACCCACAAAGAGGAATTGTCAGCATGGGACTCAAAATCAAAGAAATTTGCCATAAAGAAACTGAGGAATTTGTGAAAACAATGAAGAACCACACGCATTTCGACGTTTGCTATTGTCCTTCATAGCTTTGGGTCTATCAGCACATAGTACGAAACCATTTATTTGCTATTAATCTGACAGCAGGGTTCATATAAGAACTTTTACGGGTGACAAAATAAGATTGCAGATATTGTTTGGGGACTCCGAGATAGTAAGGTCATCAAATCACTATTTAAACTGCACTTTGATTCATTTACTTTACCAAACCCTAGCTTCTCCCAGTACTAGCTATACATGGAGTTCATTAAGCAGCTGTGGAGATGTGTTTGTTTGGTCTTGATCCTTATGTTGGGGAATTGGTCTAGTGAAGCCACTTCTCGTAACCTCCTAGATGCATCAATGTACGAAAGATACGAACAATGGATGGTTCGTTATGGACGCAAGTACAATGATATTAATGAGAAGCAGAAGCGTTTTGAGATATTCAAGAAGAATGTGGCATACATAGAATCCTCTAATAGCGATGTAAACAAATCTTACAAATTAAGTGTTAATCAATTTGCAGACCAAACGAATGAAGAAGTGAAAGCCTCAAGAAATGGATTCAGAGGGCGTGAGTTCCACAAAGACTACTTCTTTCAAATATGAAAATGTGACAGTAGTACCAGCTACCATGGATTGGAGAAGCAAAGGAGCGGTAACACCCATGAAGGACCAAGGCCAATGTGGTAAGCCTCTAATTTTTATTTATAAGACGAAATTATTCTCTTCTTCCAGAATACTTTCAATTGTTTTTGTTCTAGATACTATTTAATTGCAACAAAACTTATATGTGCAGGAAGCTGTTGGGCTTTGCAGCAGTGGCAGCCGTTGAAGGAAATACACAGCTTACAACTGGTAAATTAATCTCTTTATCAGAGCAAGAGGTGGTTGATTGTGACACCAATGGCGGAGACCTAGGATGTGGTGGTGGCTGGCCCGACGGTGCCTTTGAGTTCATCAATCAAAACAATGGCCTTAGCTCCGAGGCTAGTTACAGCTACACGGGTGTTGACGGTAGATGCAACACCCAAGCTACCCACGCAGCCAATATAACTGGCTACGAAGATGTGCCCGCAAGCAATGAGGAAGCCCTTCTTAAGGCTGTTGCTAACCAACCTGTTTCTGTTTGCATTGATGCTGGAGAAAACGATTTCCTATACTATACAAGTGGAGTCTTTGAAGGATCATGTGGACTAGAAATGGATCATTGTGTTACCGCAATTGGTTACGGCGTCAGTGATGTGGCACAAAGTATTGGTTGCTGAAAAACTCATGGGGCACGGATTGGGGTGAAGAAGGGTACATGAGGATGCAAAGAGATGTTTATGCAAAGAAGGTCTATGTGGTGTGGCTACGCATGCGTCTTTACCCCCATCGCGTAAATAAATTTACCATCAAACTAATAAAAATACCAAGATATCCTAGGAGGTGCTATGATGTGTATCAGCTTGTAAAACTTCATAAACACATTGCATCCGTTCAGCTTTGTTAATTTAGTTGAACTAATAATATTTAATTATTGAATTTAACCTTTTTTTAGGATCTCTATATAGCAAAAGCTTTTTCCTATCAAAAGGGAAAATATACGACCCTACTTTTTTTGGTCAATCACAGTTCATTCATGCCCCAAAACTATAGGGAGAAAAAACAGAGATTACAAGAGCCGAAAAGGCCAATATATATAGGAACAAAGAACAAGAAGCACATGTGGTGGCAGTTCAAACTAAAAACAGTATAGTCTAGCAAAATGAATCTTCCCCATCACAAAGCCAAAACAAAATACAAAACAAAGGCAACAAAGCCACGCAAAGGAACAAGGACGACACCAACATAGCCACAAAAGATACACTTCCCTCACACAAATCAGCACCTCTGCACAAACAAACCCACCAGTTTGCGGCCGAGAACAAAATTTCTCCAAAGCGCAAAAGTTCATCAACACAAGAACATCCATCCAAGACTCACAATCTCCATCAAGGCCAAATCTGCCTATGTACCATAGAGAAAACAACACCATTCCAACCAGGTATATCCCAAGGACCAAAACCAAGGGTGGAAGATGGTGGTGCAAACACCAAAGCAGGAGCCATAGCAAGAGCTCTATACACTTTCCAATAAATATGCGAAACTTCACTTGTAGAAGTAGTTGTTGTAGCCCAATGGAGAGGCCTGATCCAGAATAAGGAGAAGGCAAGAGAGGAGGGGATGTAGAGGAGGAAGTAAATCTGTTTGTAGGGGGTGTTTGGCGAGGAACGGGGACTCAAACTCTGCTTGAGACATTTAAGCTCAGTTCTGAGCACAAGGCTCAAACAACCACCACTATGGGGAGGGGCCACCAACTCTAAGAGAGCCACAGGCACAGCCAAACAGGCTCTTGCCAAAAATAAAAACACCCACACCAAGAGAAACCAATGTAGGAGAGATAGAGAGGTAGCAGAGCAAGAGAAACCATTATATTCTTCTGTCATTTTCATTACATCTCTTGCCTTGAACTTTAGTTAGTATCATTACAACTCATCACCTAAATCAATCCCAAAGTGCTGTCCAATCTAGGTTAGAAATCAAATGGTTTCATCTTATGTTACGAATGTGGTCTAAGACAAGAAACCTCCATCAAATCTACAGCCTAATAATGCACAAAACTATGAAACGCGTTGCTTAGTACACAAGCTAATTAAAGCTAAGGAGATTATCCTATTTCAGTTATTTCATTCGTTGAAGACTCTCTGAGAAAATCAACAAATATTCCACCATCAAGTTAAACATAATTTTTTTTTTTTTTTTTTTTTTTTTTTTTTTTTTTTTTTTTTTTTTTTTTTTTTTTTTTTTTTTTTTTTTTTTTTTTTTTTTTTTTTTTTTTTTTTTTTTTTTTTTTTTTTTTTTTTTTTTTTTTTTTTTTTTTTTTTTTTTTTTTTTTTTTTTTTTTTTTTTTTTTTTTTTTTTTTTTTTTTTTTTTTTTTTTTTTTTTTTTTTTTTTTTTTTTTTTTTTTTTTTTTTTTTTTTTTTTTTTTTTTTTTTTTTTTTTTTTTTTTTTTTTTTTTTTTTTTTTTTTTTTTTTTTTTTTTTTTTTTTTTTTTTTTTTTTTTTTTTTTTTTTTTTTTTTTTTTTTTTTTTTTTTTTTTTTTTTTTTTTTTTTTTTTTTTTTTTTTTTTTTTTTTTTACAACCAGCTGCCCAGACATTAATGGGTGTTGAATATTCTTTGCACCAAAGATTAGTTCAGGAGCCTGATAGCGACGAGAACATATGTTTGAAATTTTTGCTTCTCTCTCGACCCTGATTAGCAAGAAAATCATTGAAAAGAAATCATACAAGGAAACTGATTTTCTTAGGAACATAGCAACTCTATTAGCATGAAGCCTTTAAAAAGAAGGGTGGTTGACGTATAGACAGACATTAACTCAAACAAGTACTAATATCTTGTGTTGAAGCCATGCATTAATTTTCACCAAATGGACAGGCGATTGACTATTGGTTTATCAACAAGAAAAGATTATACATCATAAAAGCAACTGGTCATTCTGCCTCTAAGTTCTAAAGCTCGGGTCAGATTACCAGTAATTGCCACAAGAGCATTCACCATTCCTAAAATGATGAAACCTCTTTGCATCCCTCACAATTATGTCTCTTCCAACCACTCTTGACATAAACATAATTGCAGTATGGCAATCCCCACAAATCCTAAGATTCTTAAAAACTCTGATTGTGGCTCCGAGAGGAAGCTTCATGAGCCCAAATGCAACTGCAAGCTTCTCACTGTGAGTAGACAAGGAATACTCCTTATGCTCAGACTCCATATCATGCAACACAAACTTTGTGTCAGGGAGATATCCTAACTTCCTCATATCAAGTCCTAGTTGCTCAAGATATTTGTACACGGCTTGGACCTCAGGGTGCTCAGTATCACCAACTAAGAAGACGTGGACCATGTTTTCAACGTCAATCCAACTACAACCAGGCTCTTTCTTAACCCCTCGATCTCTCATTAGTTTCCGCACCTTAGCCACATCATCCCAACGGCCTATAGCGGCATACAGGTTTGACAAAAGTATGTAAGTTCCATCGTGTTGTGGCACCAACTCAAAGAGTCGTTCTGCTGCTTGAATTCCTAAATCCATATTCCCATGAGTCCGACAACCAGCAAGAAGAGCCTCCCAAATCGGTCCACCTGGCTCAAAAGGCATCGATTCAATCAAGCCCTTGGCTTCTGTGAACTCCCCACATCGACACAACAGATCAATCATGCGAGCATAATGGCCTTCATCAGGGCTAATACCATAAGAGACACGCATTGAACTAAAATAATGGTTCCCTTCCTTGACTAAACCAGCATGACTACAAGCTGACAGAATGACGAGGAAAGTTATTCTATCTGGTAGTATATCTGCCTTCAACATTTTTTCAAAAAGGTCTATTGCTTGAACACCATGTCCATGTTGTGCCAGAGCTGCAATCATAGCATTCCAAGACACTGAATCAATATAAGGCATGGTAAGAAACACAGAGTTCGCATCCTCGAAAACTCCGCATCTTGCATACATTGTGATAAGTGCATTTGCAGCTGAAAGGCTTGAATCAAACCCCAAGCTAATTAGTTGAGCATGGAGCTGGCGTCCATGCTCCAATGCTCCGAGCGCAGCACAAGATGTAATTGCTCCAGAAAATGCATAATCACACGGCTCAAAACCTTCTAATCGCATTTGGTTGAATAGCTTCATCGCTTCTTCTCCTAATCCATTTTGAGCTAAACCAGATATCATCACAGTCCATGTCAGAAGGCTCCTCTCTGGCATTTCCTTAAAAAAAGGATTTTGCTTCCTGGATGCGCCCTGCACTAACATACCCTGAAAGGATTGCATTCCAAGAAACAAGATCTTTAACAGGCATATTATTAAAAATATACCGTGCTTCATCAAGTTTACCACATTTGTAATATAGTGTAAGCAATGTATTGTTCACAGATAATGAAAAATCCACAGTAGGCTTCGCTTCAGTTCTAAGTACGTAAGCATGCACCTGCTTCCCAAGCTGAAATAGTCCATTATTAGCGCAAGTACTAATAACACTAGTGTATGTAAATTCATCCTGATGAATCCCCAGTAACCGCATTTTCCTAAACAATAGCAATGCTTCTTGAAAAGAATTGTGGTGAGCATAACCCGAAATCATCGCATTCCATACAACTTCCATCCTTTCATCCATCCCATCTAGCAATTCCCGAGCTGCATGAAGGTCTTCATTCCTTATGTACCCAGTAATCATCGTTGTCCATGATAGTTCATCTCTCTCAGGCATCTCATTAAACAAATTCCTAGCTTCACCCATCAATGATGATGATGATACTAATGGTGAAGAAGCACATCTAACATAAACAGATAACAGCGCATTCCACACCGAAGTGGCAAACCCTGTTCCTGACTTAACTACTGCACAATGTAGTTGCTGGCACTGCTTTTCAACATCAACTATCTGTGCCGCACCACGTAGTACAGTCGTATATGTGAAATCGTTAGGCCTAAAACCACCTTGCCTCATCTCACAAAATAGTCTAATAGAGGCATAGCCATCATTGTTACGAGAATAGCCTGTGATCATCGCATTGTAACAAACAGTGTCTCGCATGCTCAATGGAGTTTCATTGAATATCTTCCGAGCCAGCGTTAGATTCCCAATGGCAGAGTACGCCGTAATCAAGGTGGTTCTAGCAACAATGTCTGGTTTTGGAATTTGATCGAACAGTTGGTGGGCATAACTAAAATTTGAAGATTTACAGTAGACATCAATCAAGCGGTTAAGAATATGGCCACGTGGCTTGAACCCAGAAACTATCATGCGGGCATGGGTCGTTCGAGCTATAGAGTATGAGACGGGGCTTTGAGGGCAGCATAGCTGCAGTTGGGCTAAGTAACGGTGAGCCACTGTAAAGAACGGATTCTCAGACGTAGGAAGGAATTCCTATATATTTACTAGGGCTGGGCACGGTGCGAGATGACACGGGATGGAGGTCATTCCGGTGTCAATCCCGAATAGGAGATTTGGGATGGGATAACACGAGATGAGAGTTTTTGAAAACACGTTCAAACCATACCGGATTCAAATGGGATCGGTATGATTCAGTATCAATGTTGATACCGTAAAAAATCTGCAAAATTTCATAACCAAACACTGGCAGTGATGGATTAAAAGGAGCAAGAGTCCCACTGATATTGTTAAAGATCTAAACTGAACCAAACACCTAAACCTGTAATAAAGTAGTGTTCTTTTCAATTAAAAGAGAAAACCCAACTACCATTACTTCTCAGATCCAGAAAACTCCACTTCTAGATAACCCCAAAATGCTAATGCCTGTAAAATGTCATTGAAAACGTAAAGTCCAAATCCAGAAACCAAAGAAGTGAAATTTGGCAGCTGCACAGGAAACCTCCAATACCTACCTAAATTTCATAAAAGAAAGTTCCAGATATTTGCAATATATCATTAGATGAAGACAATCAATTTAATCCAGGAAAAAGGGCTAAAATCCAACTGTAACAGGAAGGATGCGTATCAAAGGAAAAGAGAACAAAAAGAGAACAAACCTTTTTTTCTTTCAAAAACCCATCAAAGGAAAAGAGAACAAAAAGAACTCATTTCTATCAAGAAAGATTGAGAAAGGAGGAGGGAAGAGAAGAGAAGAATTAGTATTAGACAGAGGAAAGGACGTAGAGAAACAAAGAGAAAGAGGAGTCGAAGAAATCTGTGGAGGAGAGTAGGCTGAAATTAAATTAGGATTAATAAAACAAATTTTCTGTTACTGCCAACCCCATAGGTACCAACTTCAAACACTGAGCAAGAATGTTCTATTAAATTATGAGGCTCAAACCTCTGCCCCATTAAACAGCAGAGATTTGAAATTATCCAGAAGAAGGCAGTATTTAAGAAATTAAAAAAATACAGAAATCAACAATAGCAAAATATACTTCGACACAAGACAGCAACAGACAGCAGAAACAACACCATAATTGAAAGGTAAACGACAAGCCGCACTACTATTATGCCCCTCGGGGCACCGGACTTTTACAGCCCCTACCCTAGCTAGATTTGAATAAACTTATACACTTGGCTTTCTGGAATCATTACAATCAAAACGATGTACAGATGCAGGAAGACAGTATGTTTGGGCTAAAATGACATAGAAGACAGGATCAACAATTTCCAGGTTAAGCTGGAGAGCCATTATATGTATACATCATCGGAGGGGAGGGCGAGAACAGAAAATATATGTTTTTTCAGTTTTTTTTAATAACCCATAAGTTCTCAAATTTTTAAGATTTGAAAACAGTTTTCAAGTTGCATACCAAACAAATTTTTGAATCTTAAAAATAGCTTTAAGAACTCCTTGTTTTTAAGAAAAATCAAGGTTTTTAAATTCCTTATTTAAATAGGATACCAAACGTCCCCTAAACGACCCTTAAGTATCAATGGTTACAAAAGTGTTGAATTGATGAGTTAAATTGGAAGCCGATATGTGTGTGGCCCTTGACTAAACCCCATGTGACACATTGGAGTGGCTTGAGGTTAGTGAGTCACTTGTTTTCTCCCATCCATAATATTTGTTGTGATTTGAATATTGATATAATGCTGCATCGAGCATATGGTGTGGTCTAGTCTACCAAACGTGGGCAAAATTTGAGAGGCTTCTCTTTGTAGAGAACATAATCATTTGGCTCAAAGACTAACTAACCTAATTAGTTTTGTCTACAACTTGGGATGTACTAACTAGGGTGTACAAGATCTAATCCAATCTAATCTTCACAAATTGGCCGCTTTAATTCAATTCAATTTTAATTGGTTTTGATGATTTAAAGGATTGGATTGGATCCCTAATTTCTAAAACTGATATAATTGGATGGTGGATTTGTTTGTGAGAATCCAATCTAATCTAGTTAGTTTCATGTTTATTTTGCTCATGTAGGTATTTGTAATTAAAAAAGTTATGAACATTTTAAGTCATTTGATTGAGTTATTCTTTAATATATTATAGAATCAAAACAATTTTCTCTAACTTTTCATTTATATTTTACATTTACGTCACTAATATATTTGATTATATTAAATCTAAAAAAAATGTTTCATATTCATTATTATTATTTTTTCATTATCAAAACCGATCATCCAATTTAATTTGATTGGATTTGATTGGAAAAATCACAATCCAATCTATATTGGGTTGGATGCAGATTAGCTAAGTTGTATGGATTTCGAACCAGCGTACACCCCTAGTACTATCCTTAAGATGTCTCCCCAAGCATATTAGACTTTCTTTTGTGGACTTCATTCGTGCGTACCTTGGAATATTGTGGCGTGGCCTAGATTTGCCTTAGTAAACTTTATTTGTGCTTACCCTTCGAGTTATATTGAGGTATAAAAAAATAAGCTCCCAAACTTACTAATTTTATGACAAATCATTTCTTGGTATTCTTTAATATTTTTTATTTTTCGCTTTTAAAAATAAGAAAGATAAAAAAGTCTATTTGTGTTCCATAAAAATAGGACCTTGTTTTGCTTTTATTTTTTATGCTAATTTTTTTTTAATATGAAAAAGTATGAATTTACTGTATTATCCTTATTTAATCAATACTTTCAATTCTTAATATTTTGATTAACTAAGGGAGTAATTTTTGGGCAAGGGACTTCTAACTTAAGTGGTTAAAATATTTACTCCTATACTCGAGCTCCAAGGTTTAATTCCCCCACCCCCATCCAAATATTGCTTGCATAAAAAATAAAAATAAAGTTTTTTTTTTTTTTTTTTTTTTGGTTTTTTGCTTTTTTTTTTTTTTTTTTTTTTTTAATTTATATGTATACCATTTGTCAATTCCCCCCACCCCTAATTTCCCAATAATTCGCTTGTATAATAAAAAAAAATTTTTTTTGTTGTTGTTATTTTGAATGTGGCAAAACCATTTCTTAACTAGCCAGGAGACATCAAATAATTTTAGTCAAATATTGGTTCCCTCTTCCTCTAAATAATTCAATCTCATTAAAAAAAAAAAGTATTCAAAAGAATTTAGTCCAAACTAAAAAGAGTTAACACTAACACTTCCTGAGATTTATTTACAAATTTATGAGATTTCACCAACACCCTTTGAGGGGGAAATTCTATATGAACCCCATAAATTACTCTTTACACACCCATAATTTTTTACACCCCACTAAATTTTAATAAAATTTCAAATTACTCATTAAACCCCTTTTTTTTCCCCTAAATTGCCCTCATAAACCCCATTCTTTAACCACCCACCGAAAACCCCCTTCCCTTTCAGCCACACCCCATCTGAAATCAAACCCCACCCCATCTGATATCCAGCCACACCCCACCGAAAATTCTCTCCTCTTGCAGACACACCCCATCGCACACCCCATCCCATTTACACCAACCTCCATCGCAGAACCATCGAAGAAGCCCTTTGCCATCGCCTCCATCGAAGAACTCATCCCTTTGCCATCGCAGATCTTTGCTCACCATCGAAGAAGCCCTTTGCCATCGCCTCCAGCAAACCCGAACCATCTCTGAAACAGAACCATCACACCCATCTCCATCTCTGCAAACCCGAAAGCCATTGAAGGTCAAGTTCTCACAAATCCTTATTCAAGGTTTGATTTCAAATTTGATTTATATATTTACGTTTCTAAGTGTTGATTAAGCCTACATTTGATTTCACTTTTGAAAAGCCAAAGTCTGATATTGATTTTGATTTTGATTTCAAGGTTTTGGGTAGTTCGAACCTGGTTTTACGAAAATGGATTCTAGTTTCAGTGGATTGCCACCGAAATGATTACATTGCTTCAGTGGTAGTCCACCGAATTGAACCTGTACTTTCGGTGGGTTACCACCGAAATTGTTACCTTGTTTCGGTGGTAGTCCACCGAATCTGTTTCTATTTTTCAGGGGGACTCCCACCGAATTTCTTTTGGTTTTTCAGTGGTACTCCACCGAATATATATTCTTTTTTCAGTGATTGTCCACCGAATTTATTTCCGTTTTTTCAATGATTATGTACTGAATACGTTACTGAGTGTGTACTTAATATTGTTTATTTTTAGATATGAAGAGGATTCGCAGGGGTACTACTGAAGCTTCATCATCCCGACCTAATAGACAGCGTCCCACGGCCTCAGCGAGGAGACAGAGAGCGGCTCCCCAAGATCACATTGAGGATACTATAGAGGTTGAAGATGTAGTTCCTACTGATTATAGTAATGTTGACGCAGAGGTTGAAGATGTAGCTACTACTCAGGATAGTAATGTTGAGGTACATGCTGAGCCTACTAAGCCATCTCGAGTAGGTCCCATTGATCCATCTTTACTTACGAGTTTTAAAACTCACATAGCAGCTGCAATTTGGAATAACCAGGTAAGTCGTTTTACTATGACAATAGAAGGTAGAATATAAGTCTGGTTCATGGTAACTAACCTTAATTTTGTTTTTTGTTTTTTGTTTAACTAGGAACGTGAGCCCCTTAGGTGCATGTCGAAAACATCTACCCTTCGTGAGTGGAATTGGTGGGGTAATCCAAATAATGGTATATTCAAAGGGTAATTCAGAGGTTTGGATTAGAGCACCTTATTAGGTGTTCTTATCGGAATGCTGATAAGATTGTGGTATCTACATTTGTTGAGAGGTGGCATCCCGAAATGAACACCTTTCACATGCCTTTTGGTGAGATGACCATCACATTGGATGATGTGTCATTATTTTAGGCATTCCTGTGTCTGGTGCAGCGGTTGCTCCTCTTGGAGATGACGACGACACAAATTTTGAGTTGTTAGTTAAGTACTTAGGAGTGATTGATGAAAAGGCTACTGAACAATTGCACCAATACAGTGATGAGTATGTGAGTTTGTCATGGTTACGGGCGCGATTCTCCAATGTTTCAGACACAGATTCAGAGGAGTACATCATGTATTCGGCCAGAGCATATTTGCTATATCTCTTGGGTTGCACTTTGTTTGTTGACAAGACTGGCACAAGAGTCCAAATTGTGTACTTTAGACTACTTAGAAACCTTGATAGTGTTGCTGGTTATTCATGGGGTTCTGGGTGCTTAGCATGGTTGTATATACAATTAGGCCAAGCTTCAAGGTCTAAGGTGAAGCAGATTGCTGGGTACATGACCTTTGCTGGAGGCATGGGTGTATGAGCACATGCATGGTGTTGTTGTCCCTGATCATGACCTTGATTATTTAGAGGTCCAGCCTCGTGCACTTCGTTGGATTCCACGTCGAGACAATGACACAACATCGGTAGACGTGCAGAAGTATAGACAGCGGCTTGACGCTTTGAATGCTGATCAGGTGTGTTTCTCTTACATATCATCCAACTTTGTTGTGTTTTGTATTTTATATATATATTTTGGTTTAGGAATGTATATTCCAGTGGTTCATGCTATATTATGTATCATATTTCAGGTTATATGGGAACCTTACAAGTTTGAAAGGGAACACCACCCATTTCCAGATGTTGAATTCTACTCAGGTTATATGGGAACCTTATAACTTAGTAAGCAATTGTTGCATTTGGGTTCTCCCAGCAAATTCTTTGGTTCTATTTCGGATCCTAGCATTATATATTGTCTTCATAGTTGAAACATTCATTTCATCTCTATCTTTAATGGTGACCAAAATATCTCTGGGTTTCACCAAACTCTTAGACATGTCCACCAACAAGGCATTCTCCTCTTCAGTAAGTCGCCCCACAAATGAATGACCTTGAAGATACTCTGAAATAGGATGGTTGTGTACTCCACAAACCACCTCCAACTTCCAATCATCCCCATCACCCAATATTGACACCTTTTAACAAGAATGGGCATCCACATTTCTTGGTACCAGTGTCCCTAGCACATTTTTTCATATCACTATTTGCATCCAACCTTATATCAGTTGTCTCACTAGACTTGCAAGACTTATAGTTACCGTTCCTCTCACAAGCAAGTATTACACGAGGTCTCCTCTTGCCCTCACCTCCATAATCAGACCTTTTAATTACAATGACAATATTATTCAATTTTCCTTGTTCACGAGCCCATTGAAGTAATGCATCTCTACCATTGAATATCTACACATAAAACTCATATTATTTAAATATAAAATTTGAAACATTAATGCCACGTTAATGATACTAAAAAGGATTTCAGACAAATAATTACCGAATAAGTTGTGAATTGATCACTATAGTCCATTACACATTCTGTTCCCACATTGTTGCCTTCAGTAGGGGCGTCACCTTGATTTTGTTCCTTCAATGGGAGTAAGATCAAAATAACTTGGATTAAATTTGTGGTCGGCAATAAGTTACTGAAAAAATAAATAAATTTCGGTTGGATGCCACTGAAATGCGGGTAAAAGTTCGGTAGTACACCACTGAACTACGTTCCATCTTACGGTGGATCCCCACCAAATATTAAGTTTCTCACCGGTGAAATCCAACAAAAAACGTGCAACGTTTCAGTGGCATCCCACCGAAATTATCTGTCGCGTTCAGTATTGATGTGCTGAACACAACCAGCGACTGTTATGAAATACTAAACTTGCAAAACACCAAAAAATAAACTCGTACCTCCTTTGAAGCGTCTCTAACTTCAATCTCACCCTTCATGAATAAATACAATATATTTTTTTCACCAGTATATACTTATAAATCTTGTGTTTAGGGTTTAGGAACATGATAGTTTGAGAAAAAAGTCAAACTAGGGTTGCAGGAACATATGTGGGGTGTAGTGAGCAATTTTAATTTTAATTTTAATTTTTTTTGTCCTTAACGGTAATTGTGTACAAGGGTAAAATAAGTTATTTATATTTAAAATTAGTATGGGGTGTAAAGAGCAATTAATGGGGTGCCAATAAAATCACCCTTGAGGTTTCTAATTAATTTTTTTTCTTTCCTTTTTCTGGATATTATGGAGACCCCAAAAGCTCTAAAAGAACAGATAAAATAAAAGAGCATATCCACCAAAGCTAATTCAAATTTTGGTTAAATTGATTTCAAGTTATACAAAAAATATTTATTAGTTGGGTCACTTTAATGAATGCGACTCTATCAATATTTTTTAGTTGAGTTATTTATAAAATCCCTTGAGATTTCAGAAATTATACTAACAACTCTTAATGTTTCAAATTGATTTCACAAAACCGCTTTCATTAGTTTTTCATTTAAAAAATTGTTGATATAAAAATAAAAAATTTCTCCAAGTGTGTCAGTGTTCTTTTGGGACCTTTTGCAAATGATCTACTAGTTTAGTGGTTTGGAACAATTGCTCTTCCATGAAAGATTTTGGGTTTGAATTCTAGTATCTGTGTAGTGTGTTTGAGTTTAATATACTATTATTCATCTCAATAAGAAACGTCATAAATTTAAATAAAAACAAAGTAAAAAAGGAAACTTATTAATGAGTGGGTTGCGAAGTTACGTGTGCTCACTAATGACTATCAACAACAGCGAAAGCAGACAAAATAGAAAACAGATATAATCCACAAATTAATCAAATAATTATAGTAAAAAAGAGAGAGAGAGAGAGAGAGAGAGAGAGAGAGAGGAGAGAGAGAGAGAGAGAGAGAGAGAGAGAGAGAGAGAGAGAGAGTGACAATACAATTTAGGCTTAATTATGTACATGCCCCCTGTGCTTTCCCACTTATCTCAGATTACCACTTGTGGTGGAAAACGTCTCAAAGTACCCCCCAACGTGCAAAAAACTGTCTCACGTTACCTTTTCCCGTCAGTTTTTTTTGAAGTTCCGTTACGAACGTTACTGTTCATCTCCCCCAAAATTCCAGAACAGCAGCTCCTCCCATTTGTTACTGTTCATCGCACCAGTTTTTGGGCTGCCATCGCCTCCTCCGGCCACCCCAAGCGACGACATGGATATCAAAAGAACCAGCACGTTGTCCTCTACCACCCTCACATCTCAGCCGCTGCCAACCGTCGTCTATATCACCGAAAAAAGCAAGAAATTGGCCGGTTTTTACCCAAAATCTCCATTGCTCGTTCGGGCGATTCCGAGCACCATTTTCTTCGATCCAAGTATGATTTTTCAACCTCTCGAGTTGTTCTTGCTGCTAGTTGTGTTGGTTAGGAGAAATTTCTGAGTTTTGGAGGGTAAATAAGCGATGAACATAACAAAGGGGAGAGGCTACTGTTCTGGAATTTTGGGGGAGATGAACAGTAACATTCGTAACGGAACTTCAAAAAAACTGACGGAAAGGGTAACGTGAGACAGTTTTTTGCACGTTGGGGGGTACTTTGAGACGTTTTCCACCACAGGTGGTAATCTGAGATAAGTTGGAAAGCACAGGGGGCATGTACATAATTAAGCCTACAATTTACAAAGAAAGGAGGATTTTTTTTTTTTTTTTTTTTTTTTTTTTTTTTTTTTTTTTTTTTTTTTTTTTTTTTTTTTTTTTTTTTTTTTTTTTTTTTTTTTTTTTTTTTTTTTTTTTTTTTTTTTTTTTTTTTTTTTTTTTTTTTTTTTTTTTTTTTTTTTTTTTTTTTTTTTTTTTTTTTTTTTTTTTTTTTTTTTTTTTTTTTTTTTTTTTTTTTTTTTTTTTTTTTTTTTTTTTTTTTTTTTTTTTTTTTTTTTTTTTTTTTTTTTTTTTTTTTTTTTTTTTTTTTTTTTTTTTTTTTTTTTTTTTTTTTTTTTTTTTTTTTTTTTTTTTTTTTTTTTTTTTTTTTTTTTTTTTTTTTTTTTTTTTTTTTTTTTTTTTTTTTTTTTTTTTTTTTTTTTTTTTCCCCGTTCGAACACGGAAACTATAAATCAATTGTTGCATCTGCTGTCTAACATATGCTCTCGACCCGATATAAATACAGACGCTGTATTTATAAGATCACGATGCAGATCTCTAACAATATAGTCTCACCTGAAGTATTCAGGTTCCGTCTATCCTACCATCCTTGTCTCTATAAGCACACTGACTTGCCTTCAAAACAAAAAAAACAATACCTGGGGCTCCTCTCCTACCTTTTCCAGCTCTTCCAGCTCCCTTTCTTGCTCCACAGCTTCGAAGCCTCTCCAGATCATCATCCGTGCCAGAGGTGGTGGGGGAACTGCCCCAGTTCCCTCCGGGCCCGTATTCTTCTGCAATCTTCTTTCTAATCTTTTTGACTTAGTAAGAGGAGGAGAGGACCTCCAACTGCAAACGACAGAATAAGTCTTAAAGATTAAGACAGAACAGGATTATGAAGAATTCAAAAGAGGAATCATCACAAATACCTGGAGCCACAGACTGGGCAGTTTCTTTTCTCTTTTTCTTTGACAGGAGAAGTGGCCTCAACAGGAGTCTGTTCTGCCTGATCTCCCTCCTCTTCTTCTTCTTCTTCCTCCTCTCCATCCCCGGAGGGCAACTCCAGATCCCCAGCAGCAATGACAGAATGACTATGCAGAAGACAAAAGTCAAAGGTCAATCCAGTAGAGAGTAGCAAAGACTGGACAAAAAACACAACTTACCAAACACCTCTCCGCTTTGGGCTGGTTGGCTGCCTATATTCTTTGTCAGAGAGGGATCGAGTACAGATAGAAAGGATATCATCATCACTAAAACACAGAATAGGCAACAACAGACAGAATAAAGAGAGATTACCTTCTATAATTTGCATGTTGATTCTTTGATGGTCTGCACCATGAATCTGTGAGTCTCGTCGTCTGAATGGACATTCCAATTGTCCCAGCCCTTAAAAAGGACCTAAAGTGCGGTGCTAGAAGCAGGCAGATCACGGAATCTGGCTTTCCACCAAGCATCAAACTCCACAGAACTACAGGAGTTCATTCCCAGGAAGGATTAAAGGGCATCTCGCACATGTGTTTAATCTTGTTCACTGGCACATCCACCCTGGCATATTTGTGGACCTCCAAAGTCATCTGCACCCTCCAAGAAGACCCGATTGGCAGCTTCCGTATGACTTAAGAGTGGTATGAGTTGAGGGGACAGCCAAGCTGCCTTGCACAGGAAGTTGGTTGATGGGAGACTTCCCCCCAATTGATAATGTGGGAAGGCTTTCCCCCCCCCTGAGGCTAGATCATCCGGTGTTCAGTCAAAAATCAGGAAAATTTCTTACCTGAAATACAGTTTTCTGGCGACCGAATCGTTCTTCTGGCTCTTTTTTCAATCTAGACGAGGTCCAGGCTGATAACCTAATGATTAGGTCTCTGACTAATTAAACCATATGCCATCTGTGATATGGCGACCTCTTGGTATCAATGCTCTAAAATCATCAGGTATTCACCAATTTGGCCCGTGGGGACTTCTGCTGACAGCACCGATTGCGAGCTAGAACCTGGTTCTCATCAGAACTATGTCTGGATACCTTATCAGGAAAATAGACCTGCTGCAGCCAGATCTAAATCATCCAGAAGGCACCAGGAGCAGACAGATTCAGCGGATACTCCAGAGTAGCGGTATGCAGGTTCTTGATAGATGGGCCAGAACTGTAGGTCCAAGGCCAAACATCAGTGTGATTATGCAGAGCTTCTGCCAGATGCCTGTACTCAAGCAGAACTGCAGAAGAACGATTGGGCAGAATAAACCTGTTCAGCCAATACAGGAGAAACAACATATGCTGCTGATCTTTGTCCTTCTCAGCACTAAATTTTCTGAGATAGTTGGAGAAGGAGCAATTCTGGTTGATCAGGCTGGGGAAATAGTGAATGGCTTGGCTAGCTTCTGCTGGTCCTTCTTCCTGTGATAATCACCATGGCATCAACAGGCCTCCCATGGGGCCTAAAGCCAAAAATCTGAGCCATATCCAGCAGAGTTGGAGCCATGGGGCCTATACGAAATCGAAGGTGTTACTGGCAGAATTCCAGAAACACAGAGCAGCAGCAAGCAGGTTCTCATCCCTGTTGATAGATTGCTTGGATAGGAGTATGGCGTCATAAATTCCAGCCCGCTTCCAGTGAGCCCCAAATCGAGGAAGAAGTCTGTCAATCCAATCAGCCCACTTGACTGGACTGTTTCTCACTTCACTTGGATGGGAACGAACGACTCAAATTCTTACTAACCCAAGAATGAGAAGCCAGAGCGGAGAGCTCTCAAAACATAGAGGGGCCTCAGCATCCTTCTTCATCAGCTCCGCCATCTCGGGAGGAACGGGGCCAAACCAGTGAGGCCCCAGCACCAAGGTGTTTTCAAACAGATGAAGGACGTTTTCATCTAGGTTTTTTTGGGCAAAAGGATGGAGCTTGCTCCTAACCTCTATCGCATGTTATCAATCCCAGCCCCAGTAACGTAGTCGGGAAGAACTGGAATAGAGGAAGACTGAGCACGGGATTTCGGGAAGACATTTTCTTGGAAAAGTTATTTTTTTCTGAAAAAGGGAGGTTCACAGGAAGGGCAAGGCAGGATCAGCAAAAGGAAGTTTTTTCGAAAAACACGAAAGGAATCAAGTTTGAAAAATACTAGATTTCAGTGTGAACAGGAACAGTGGTTTTCGAAAGACTTTTAAAGAAGCCAGAAAACGTGGGAAAGAGAGATGACAGCGACGTGGAGAAGACAAAGCGTCAATCTGATAGTGACTAAGCTAATAAAGGGCTAGTAACTGAAGAACTGCGCCACACGGGCACTAGCTTAGTGGGGAAGCGTGGCAGACGTGGGATAAATGAAGGAATTTTACCACGCGCCAATTTAATGGCCATGTCATTTAAGTCTGAAAACCGTTTCAAAACGATTCAGACTTAAGGGGGCATTGTTTGGGCCACAAATTGGCATACCCAGCCCAGCAAAATTTAGGCCCAGAATGAAGCTGCAAAAAAATCAAAGAGAGATGGAAGCCCAAAAGCCAGAGGAGACCAGCCCAAAACTCATCAAAGTAAACAAGGCTAATCTGGGCCTCACAGGCCCAATATAAAGAGAAGAAGAAAGCCCAGAAGTAGGAACAATCCCACGTGACCTCTCTGGAAAAAGAAAAGTCAGCAATGGCAACTGTCACAGGAGAAGTAATTGAAGGGTTCATAATATCAAGATTGATTCTGGAAAAGCTAAAGATCAAATCCCTCTTACACATATATGATATATATATATACATACAGAGATTTTTTCCCCTGTCTTTTCAGAGAAGGTAATTCTCCCAAGGAGATAAGCAAGTTACAATCTCAGGGAGGGATAAGCAGGAAAGTAGGAAGCTGTCCAGAAAAGGAGTCAAACTAACCATCACCGGCAAAATATCACAAGGGGCAGTTGAAATTGGGAAAGAGATTAGGTTCCTTTTCAAGAAAAATCAGGGAAGTGATTGCCTATCTGTTGAGAGCCTATCTACCAAAACTGAGGAAACTTTTTTCTTTCTTTTCTTTTCCATTTTTAAAAGAAGATCTTTTTTGAAAGGATTTGCCGCCCATTATTAAAAGAGTACCCTACTCCAGAAGACATTTCTTATAAATACAAGAAGGAGTGAACAGGGCAAAGGACAATCAAATCTTACAACAAAAATTTCATCACTCAATCAAACAAAAGATCCTACATAGGAAAACCCTCAAATAAACAAGCCCACTTGAATTTCAAGTGAAAAACCAGCTCCAGATCAGAATGCCCAGAATCCAGATTTAGGAAGCAAGTCATTCAAGACGAGATTTCTCTCGTTATAAATTTGGTTCAACAAAAAGCCAAAACAAGCAGAGTTTGAATCTTCTCCAAGCATGGAAAACCTCAGCAAAATTCACGGAATAGCCTCCAGCTCACCAACGTCCTCAAGAACAGCCACTTCTGCCTGTTCAAACTGAAGAAACCGCAGTTCTGCCCACTCAGAAGCTTCACAAAAGCTTAAGGTACATTAAAGCTCTGCCAGAATCAACCTTGGTATCGATTTGTAGTCGAGGATCGGGCAATCAGAATTGTCAGCGGTCCAGTCCAGCCCAGACATTCCCAGTCCAGCCCTCATAGAGCCTCCCATCCAGACAGAAATGGAGATCTAGCTATCTTTTTATCTTTTGGCATCGACATGTATTTTGTAGTCTTGTAAAAGGCACTTCCGCCCAAAAATAGCTTAATTTTCATCAGCCATTCTGGCCAGAAACACCTCTTTATACTGAGATAAATTATTGAAGTCCTCACCAGTCTGAGGCAAGAAAAGAACTTACTTGGAGATATTCCTCACCCAAATTCACAATCGTTTGTTTAGGAAATCAGTAACTTGGGGCGCAAGTTATCCATTCCAGACTAAGTCTGCTAGACTTCTCATTACTAGCAGTGGCACGCTCGCACACCAAAGAAAGCTGACTTGTTGACCAGTCTATGGTTCTCAAGGCAGTGGGGAACTTTGCCCTTCCATCATAGGAGTAAACACAAAACGGGTGAACATAAATATGAGAGGAGGTGAACATGGTTGGAGACAGCCAAAAATTCAATCAAGACAAAAACTCTCAAGTCATACTGACAAATTCAAAACAAGATCATACGATCTCAAAAGCCTTCAAACTATGAAGCAATCAAGCTCTTTGATTTACAAAAGACATCCAGTCTATGACAGAACAGGCAGAACTCAGACTTCTGACTTCAATTCAACCCAGGGAGGCAATTCACAAAGGAAACGAGATTTCTCTCGTTACAAATTTGGTTTAGCATAGGCCAATCAAGCAAAATTCAAGTTTTTCATAATATGAAAACCTCAACAAATTTACAGAGATGCCTTGATGTCTAAGAATTATCAGAACAGATTGCAAGTGATCCACAATTAAGCAGAACAGGTGCTGAAGTGTAGTTACAGACCAGAAATCGTCAATCCTACCACTTCCAATCCAATGCAGACTGGAGAAATCCCAGTTCTGCCCATCCAACAAGCCTCTCCATGGCTAAAATAGATTAAAGCTCTACCAATTTCAATATTGGTATCAATTTCCACCTTAACCTCATCAGTTGAAGGTGCTGACGTTTAAATCCAATACAGGTACATCCAGTCCAACCTGAATCACAGGCAACAATCCAAGCAGAAATTGAAGCCCAATGTTCTGTTGTCCTTTCAGACGTGGCAGTTCCCTTTTGTTTTAAATTGTGCAATATGTAGTCTCTCTTTAAAACAGTTTGATTTATTTTCAATATTCATTTTGGCTAGAACTACTAGTTTTTACTATGAGAAATTGTGAAGTCTTCACCAGTCTAAGGCAAGAAAAGAACTTACTTGGGAGATATTCCTCACCAAAATTCACAATCACTTGTTTAAAGTTAGTAACTTGGGGCGTAAGTTATCTATTTTTCATAAGCCTAGTAGGGTCATGATGGCTAATAGTAGCACGCTCGCACACCAAAGCAAGTTGACTTGTTGACCACTAATGGTTTTCAAGCAAATGGGAAATTTTACCCTACTATCACAGGAACTAAATCAAAACAAGTGAACAAATTGAAAAGACCGGTATTACCATGCTACTATGTTATTTAGTAAAAAATTCAGGATACTAAACTGAAATTAACCAATTTTTTTTTATTGGTTAGAAACTCAATTGTGATTATTGTTTAGAACTGAAACTGAGTTGTATTTTATGAACTTTGTAATACTTCATTACTATATATTTGTGATTGGCAAGGCTTAATAGAGAGCTAATAATGTGCATTATCTCACTATAACCTTTGATTTGATTAGAGGCATGTAGACAACAATTTTGGCTTTGTTTATGTGTACTTTTTCATTTTGTTTTTTGTTTTAGTACAAGTTAAATTCTAAATCACAAGGGAGGGGGTTTCTCTCACATACACAATCAAGATGTCATGGGGGTTAGAATCTAAGATTTATAGTATGCAAGTCAACGCATTTTTCCACTGTACTAGACCCCGTTGGATTTATGTATCCTTAGTTAAAATACTAAAAGACCAGAGGATTTATTTACATACACTGTCATTAATTGAACAATTTAGTACTGTAAAATAATATGTATTAGTAAAAACAAAATTGTAAAAAGTAACTACAATTGATTAAGCAGTGCATTGTTTTGCCATTACATTGCATCTACACTGAAATAGAATTTGGTTTGTTTTGGAATTTTGATGGTCTAGGATGGTTGAATGTGTTGGAAAATTTAAAAATATAGGAGCTATGAATTTATTTATTCCAGCTTTGCTCTGCTATTGTTTCACCTTTTAAATCCTTAAGCCATTTGGAAATACCTTATAAAAGAACACGAACAAAGTAAACAATCACACAACACCAAGAATTTAACGATATTCAACAATGTGCCGACATTCTCAGTCATCACCAAGGTCTATAATATCAATGATTTCGGAAATGTCGGTAGTTCAAAAACACGAAAATTTCGATGGAAATATCGAGATGTTATCAATATCGATAAAAATTAAATACAAACCATGGAAATTGTAAGAAAAACTTGGAAATTTTTCTTGAAACTTTGGAGGATGTTTATTTAGTCAATTATCTATTACTTTATCACAAAAAATTAGAAGGAAATGCATTGCATGATGAGTTTAATTGATTTAAGTTGATTATATAGGAAGCTGACAAACACTGCGAGTGTAGAAAATTTGTAGTAATTAATGAAGAATATTAAACATACCATAATCATTAATTTATAATGATTTACTACAATATTTTACACTTTATACATTGCGTGGTAAGATATATGAGTGACTTAGTACCACATGGAGTTCCTATAAGGTTCAAATTTGAGTTATTTACACTAACACCTCCTGAGGTTTTCAACTTTTTCACAAAATTCCTTGAGATTTTAGAAATTACAAGAACACCCTCTCAGGTTTTAAATTGTTTTTACAAAACTCATTTTCATTGATTTTTCATCCAAAGATTGATGATTGTACACACAAAAAAATTATCCAAATCACAAAGTCGGCCCTTGATATTAGATTGTATATACTTCATTGAGGTTAATTTTTTCAATTGCGTAATATTTTTTTTCAATGAAATCATCAATTTTTGGACAAACAATCAACGAAAATGGGTTTTGTGAAAACAAATTGAAACATTAGGGGTTGTTCGTGTAATTTTTGAGACATGATGGGGTTTTATGAAAACACAAGAAACCACAGGGGGTGTTAGTGTAAATAACTTTTCAAAATTTTCATTGTCTTCTTCATCTTGATATTATCGATATTATAACAATATTTTGGCCAAATATTGCTGAA